TACTGTTGGATTAATGATTTACTTTCTATGTGAGAAGAAGCAGGTATATTACATTTTTGAATCATCAAAGGGTTTTCTATGACCCTGTCCCCCAGGGCTAGGAGACCTGGAGGAGAAGCCCGCAGATCATGCCACCTGGCCTCTCCCTTCCTCCTCATTCTTTACTTTCTAGTTTTGTTCAGGTCCTCCCCATTATTTCCCCCTTGGGGAGATTTAGGACCCCAGAGCCAGACCCAGGAAGCCACCCAGACTGTGAAGGGGCCCGACAGCATTGCCCAGCATCCCACGTGCCCAGCTGTGGGGTTGCTCTGAGCTGTTCCTACCCTCAGTGTTTGCTGGCAGCAAATAGAAGCAGGGCCCTCCCTGCCCACCACCCATCACCTCATTCAGATATTTAAGATCCAGAGGGAGTAGAAAGGACAAATTTAACTTAACCCCCATCTACTTTCTTTTTTTTTTTTCCCCATCTACTTTCTCCTGGAAGCTGCTTTCTCTCTTTGGCTGGTGTGGAGGGGGCAGAAATGAGGATGAGAATAGGAGTGAATAACAACAGTGCTGGATTTCTTTTTTGTTTTTTCCTTTTGGCCAAGCAGTTTGTGGGGTGGGCTCTTAGTTCCCCGACCAGGGATTGAACGTGTGCCCTCGGCAGTGAAAGCATGGAGTCCTAACCACTGGACTGCCAGAGAATTCCCCAGACTTCTTTCAAAGCTAGCCACTGGCGCTCACTGGGAGCTTGCCTTCTGGTTTCAGAGAACTCAGGTTCTGCAGTGCGCTGGATCTGCTATGAAAACTCAACTCTACCTCCTGCAGCCCTGTGACCGTGAGCAAGTGACTGTCCCTCTCCGTGGTGCCTGTTTCTTCTGGTGCAAAATAGGAATAATACCATCTATTTCAAGAAATGGTTGGGAGGGTCCCACAAGATGATACAGGCACTGATTGTGGGTTAAGCCTCTACCCCTGTAGGCTCAGATGCTATTTAGGAAATGGATGAGCTGGGGTCTTTGATGTCCCTCTTCCCTAAGCTGGTTGCAGATGTCTGGCTGGTGAGCCGTGAGCCTTACTGTCTCTTTAATCACTTTTTCTCTCCTTCCTGAGATTCTGAGGCCCAGCTTCTCTAAATCAAGAGTCTGCAAACTTTTTCTGTAGAGACCCAGATAATAAATATTTTCGGCTTTACAGGCCATATGGTCTCTGTTGCAACTACCAACTTTGCTGTTGTAATGCAAAAGCAGCCATATACCATATGTAAATGAATGAACATGGCTGTGTTCCAAGAAAACCCTGTATTTATGAGCACTGAAGTTTAAATTTCATATAATTTTTATGTGTCACAAAGTAGTATTCTTCTTTTGATTTTTTCCCCCAAGCATATAAAAGAGAAAATAAAAAAAGAAAGAAAATAGTACAGATTTGACCACAGGCCATAGTTTGCCAACCTCTGCTGAAAATCACCAGAGGCTATCGCCCCTCCCTTCTCTTTGAAGAGTGCAGGTTCATCAAGGTCCTTCTTGCTCTGGTTGTTTGCTTCTTTTATATTGGAAGTACTTTATGATCATTAGTTCCCATCACAGCTGTTTTAGTGTCAGCCTGTGGGTTATTTATTCACTCTCTCTTTTTAAGAGGTAACAATGAGGTAACCATCATATAGTGCTTCTGTCTTGAGCCTTCCTCTCTCCAGATCTCCATTTCTCAGTGCTCTGCCTTCTCTCTGCCTCTAAATAACAGCAACAACAACAATAGTAGCTTTTACTAAGTACCTAATATGTGTCAAGCCCAGTATTAGTTGTATTTACCTACATTGTCATCAAGTTTTTCAATATCCTTGCAAGGTAGTATTATCATTCCCATTTTACAGATGATTCCAGAGCTCAAAAACATGAAATAAGCAATGTCATGTGGTTATTTATTGAGATGCCCAAGGTCACATGGCTTATGAAGGTGGCAGAGCTAGCAAATCTGCCGAACTTCAAAGCCACTGTAGCATCCTGAGGAAATTATGGTCTCAGACTTCTGAATAAGAGAAATCTCTCTCTCTTAAAATAATACATGCCTCCATCTCAGCACACGGTAGAATGTCTAACCAATCAATGGCGACTAGGGAAATGATGGAGATTACACACAGAGGGGAAATTAGGAGATGCTGATGGTCTGTGTTGGTGGGAAAAGCATCTGATCCGAGGCAGGGAGAAAAGTAAAGTAACTGAGGGCCCCTTCTGGCTTTCCTCCCCTGCCCCCATCCCCAGCATCTGATCTCAGACCTATTTCAGACTCTATCTCTGCTCAGCGGAAGCAGTGATGTGACACGATGTGATCTCATTCAGGAGCTAAATAAAGCCATTGTGTGAGCCCTAGCCCTGGCCACTCCCTTGTACCATTTCCTGAGCTCGGGAACCCAGGGAAAGATGGGAAGCGGCTGGGAGAGAACTGATGGAAGGAGCAGCGAGGAAGGGAGCACAGTCACAGAAAGCGGAGGGCAGAATATCTCTGCGAGGGGGATGAGGAAGTCTTGCTAAACCTCATCTCTTTGAAGGAGAGAATGAAAATTATTGACATTATAGCATGAAGGAGTGGAATTTAGAAAACAAAAAAAAACTTTCCAAAGAATGGAATGAAGATATGAGGGAGGAGTCCAGTGGATTCCATTTTCACAGAAAGCAGAGACCATGAATGACATGTCAGAAGAGGCTAGAAAGAAGGTAGATCTTTGAGAAGAGGTCAGATTCAAGGTGGTCTCAGTTGGAGGAAGAAGGGTGAGATCCCAGGACATGAAGATCTCTGGATTAAAAATGTCTGTCCACCAGGCCAAGGCAGCAAGTTACCACCTCCAACAGGAAGCATCTCCAGGGATGGAGGGAAAGGAAAGGGCATCCATTCACTGCTTTTCATTCATCTAGTCAAATCCAGCCCCGCGAGCAAAATGTAGCCAGGAGGAGCAGATAGAAGCTGGGTACAAGGAGTGTAGGTCTAACAGCTTTTTCTCTTTTGTGAGGTCATTGAATGCCAGATCCAAGGTCCTCATGGTGCCCCCTCAATGCCCATTTCTGTCCTATTCCCAGCGCCTGTTGTGAGGGGCACTCCCAGTTCCTACTCTTTCCTCCCTCCCAGCTTCCCTCAATACTTTTTTATCAGTACCTCCCACCCCTTGCCCCAAATCTCAGCTTTGAGACCCCTGGTTGGCAGGAATCATGCTGTGGCTCTCAGGCTCTGTCCTGCTCCCTGCAGAACTGCCCATCCCATTTATTTTATTTTTTAAAAATATCTGTTTATTTGGCTGCGTCGAGTCTTAGGATCTTTGTTCTAAGATGGGATGTGGATGTTTCGTTGTGGTGCATGGACTCTCTAGTTGCGGCACATGGGCTTAGTTGCCCTGTAGCACGTGGGATCCCAGTTCCCTGACCAGGGATCGAACCCACGTCCCCAGCCTTGCAAGGTGGATTCTTAACCACTGGACCACTAGGGAAGTCCCCAGGCCATCCTGTTTGCAGATGGCACATCAGATGACATGAGGCCCAAGTCTGGGGACACAGGAGATGTGTCCCAGTGGCTGGACGAGAGGCCCCCTCTATGTGGCTTCCAGATAAGCTCAGCCACCAGGCCTGGGCTGGTCTCCTCGGCCTCTCATTTTCTATTCTTAGACCCACCTGGCAGAGCAGCAGAATCCCCCTGCAGAGGCCTGAGTACTTGTGTCCTCCCTTCCCCATGGTAGACAGGCGTGCAGCGGGGCACATCTCAGTGCTTCTGGGTGCAGCGGCAGCAGGTTGCAGCGAGAGAGGGAGAAGTAGCTGGAAGGAATGACCTTCCAACAACCTGGACTTTAGGAGTGTGTGTGTGTGTGTGTGTGTGTGTGAGGGGTGGGCAATAACATAACCTGCAGAAGGCTTGACGCCCTCACAGGAAGCCTGGGAGGAGGGCAAGTTCTGGCTCATTCTTCCTGGTCCTCCTGGGTCCTCCCAGCATCTCAGCTGTTTCTCTCCTGGGAGAAGAGGAGCCTGGGAAACTCATTCTAGCAGAAGTTCTACAGAGATGGGGCCTGGGAGGGAGTGCAGAGGTAGATGCAGTTGATGTGAGCTGCCTTCCCACCCCTCCGCCACGTTGGTACTCTGGTATTTGGTACTTGTTTCTGGAGCGGGGCTTATCATTTTCAACTCTAAGAGCTCCTGTCTCTAACTCTGAGATAGACTGAGGCAAGCCCTGAAGGCCTCCAGGAGTGTTGGGCTGTGAGAACAATGCCCACCTGGGAGAGAGAGTGAAGGAATTTCAACATGGCTAATTTGGGGGCCCTTTCTCTGCTCCATGGGGAGAGGTCAGAATAGCTGTCTTACTCCCCAAATGACCAGAGTCTTAGAAGGAAGAAGTCATCATACTGTCTCACTCACGCACCTTTTCTCCCTGCTGTTTTATTTGCCTAGACTCCTCCCTCTCCAACGTGGCCAAATCCTAACCACTCCACCCTTCCAGGCCCATCTCAAAGGCTATTTACTTCCTTCTGTTTCCCTTTTCCGAGTCCTCCAACTGGTTATATGTACTCAGCACAAAGCCTTCTTTTTTGAAACTTTTCTTGCGACATTTGGCAAATTCTGGCCAGTTGTTTGTGATTTGTGCTTTTGCCTACGTGCACACGCACACATGCACGCACTCACCAGAATGAATTCCTTGAGGGTAAAAACAATATCTATTTCTCTTTGCTTGGCATGGTTTCCTGTCAGATAGGTGCTCACCAAATGGAATGATAATGAGTGAATGAGGATGTCATTATGTACTGGACAGAACACTAGACTGGGAGTCAGAAAAACCAAGTTCCTGGCTTGACTCTGCAGCTAATTGTGTGATCTTGAGCCAACCATCCTCCAGTTCTGTGCCTTGGGGAAGGGAGGAGTGGGTGACTGGATGATCAAGGCCTGGCTGGCTGTGACACTTTCCTAGTTCCAAGGTTCAGAGTTCTAGAACTCTGCTCACTGTTCTCTGTCTTCTTGATCCAGACTGGCCTGTGTGCGCCTCCCATGAACAGAGAAGTCCCAGAGGTGTTTCTCGCAGGTGGAGACCTGGTGCCCCGAGGCCACACTCGCCGCTGCCTCTCTGTGGTCGAGTCCAGAGCACAGCTGGAAGAAGAGGAGGAGGAGGAGGAGAATGAGAAGGAGGGGGAAAAAAAGGAGGGTGAAGCCTTCCATGCTGTACCCCTCCGAAGGTCAGGCGCTTTTCGTGCCCACAGCCACAGCTATGACCCCTTCAAAAGGCATAGCTGGGGGCCAGGCAGGGAGCTCCAGGATCCACTGAGCAGGTAAAACACCAGGGGACCTCCTATCTCTCCTTCTCTCAAGTCCTAGACCCAGGAGAAAGTGGTTGGGAAGGAATGACAGGAGTTGAAGAGGCCTGGGCCCCGAGTTTCTTGTCTGGAGAGTCTGAACCCAGGCCTGTGGTGGGCCTTTGGGGAGAATGGACTCTGCCTTTCAACACGTGGCTCTCCCTAGCATCCTAGCTCCTTCCTTCTACTAGTCTCCAGGGCAGTGGGTGAGAATGGAGAGGGGGAGGTGTGGAGGGGAGGTGAGTAGCAGGACACTCGGGTCTTACTGCCGCCTCCTCTCACTTGGGTTTCATAGCACATACAGCAGAGTCAGAGCTGGAAGGGACTCAGGGATCATATGGCCCAATCGCCTCATTTTACACATGAGGAAACAGGCCCAGAGAGCTTTGGGAGTTTTCCTGAGAGACATGCTCCCGGGGTTGGGGCATGGGATCTAGCCCCCTTTCCCAAACTTCTGCCTGCCTGATGGTGTGGGCTGAGGCAGGCCCGTGATGTTTAGACATTGTAGTCCAGACGTACAGTGGGGGAAGAGCTCCTCTTGCTCAGGGTTCTATATATGCATGACAAACCGGAAGTGAGGGACCCAGCTCTTCCCCTCTCCTGGAAAAACCCTGACCACTTCCCCAAAGACAGAGGGGAAGCCAGAAAGAGAAGGCCCGGGGCTCAGCATGAAGGGTTCAGTGTGAGTGGTGCCTGTGAGGGCCTGCCAGCCTTGGAAGGGCCTGTCTCTCTGCTTTGGCAATGGTCCCCTTGGACAAATTCTCTTAGCCTGGTAAGTAGACCAAACTTCTCGAGCTCCTGGGCAGGGCTGGCTGGGCGTGTGAGGGGAGAGGACCCTTGCCTCTGAACTGGCTTGGGAGGGAACTTGGGTGAGAAGCCTGGTCTTCAGGACTCATGGCACCTTCCTAAGAGCAGCTCGTCTAAGTCAGAGGTGCCTTTTGTGATGCCAGCTATATCTCAGGATCTCCCAGGTTCACCTTTCACGATCAGGCACTAATTCTGTCCCTTGGGTTGAGAAGGAAGGGGGCCCTGGGCACACCATTTATCTGAGGAGGGGCTAAGGTTCGCCTCGGAACCCCCATCCCCTTTCCCTCCGCGCTGACCGCCGGCGGTCTTCTGGAGTGCAGTACTGCCCTTTGACCAGCAGGGGTCATCCTTGCCCGCAGCCAGTGCCACAGCTTTGCAAGCACAGCCCGAAAGGGAGGCCAGTTTGGGTCTGGCCCGCGCCTATGCCAACAGGAAGGGCTGGGCTGGGGGCAAGCAACAGGGACTGGGCTGAGGCGGTGTTTCTCCCTGGTGCCCGTCACCAGCCACTGGGTACGGAGGTCAGCGGCGGCAATGTGTGTTTCAGGAACAAACTGCAGGCATCGGGATGCACAGGCCCCGAGGAGCCCTCCTTACTGCGGAGCCAAGAGGAACTGGACCCCTTTCTGGAGCTGCAGCACCAAGGTGGCCAATCCTCCTGCGTGGTATGGACAAACAAATCCCCACGGAAGCTCCCACCTTCCTCCCCCTCTCCTGCCCCTTCGCCTGTCCAGCCACCACTCTGGGCCTCTTCTGTTCTGCCAGCTGCTGAGGCTCTCTGTGCCCAGGGATCACTTTGACTTCATCTGACCAAATCTGAATCTGGTGTCTATACCCCTCTGTCTGCTTCCCTGGGTCTGTATGCTCTGTCCCCCACTCTTGGTATCCTGCCTCTGTTTCTTTCTCTGAGACCCTCTGTTCCCTCCTTTCTGTGTCTCTGTGCTGATGTGGGCATCTCTGCCCCTCTCTCATTAAAAGGCCCCTGTTCCCCTAGTTATAACTACTTCTTTCTGTGGACCCCACATTTCGCAGATTTGGAGATGAACTTACTATTTGTAGGATGAAACTAGGCATCTGGTAACCCTGAAACACAATAGTTCTCTAACAAGATAATTACAGGACCATCAAGTAAGAAAGGATATAGAGATTGCTCAGGCTTCTGGCTTCAGGGAACATCACAGGGAAGATCTCAAACCAGGACCTAGGGACCGCTGAGGATACACGGAGGTTTTAGAGACACCTCTGGGTCTGCTAGCTAAGAGTCCCTGAGTATAGTCAGCCCTCCGTATGCACAGGTTCAACATCCATGGATTCAACCAAGCATGGGTCAAAAATACTTGAAAAAAAAATTCCAGAAAGTTCCAACAAAACTTGAATTTACTTCATGCTGGCAAATATTTACATAGCATTTACATTATGTTTGCAACTAATTTATGTGGCATTTACATTGCATGAGGTATTATAATTAATCTAGAGCTGATTTAAAGTATATGGGAGGATGCACATAGGTTATATGCAAATATTATGCCATTTTATATAAAGGACTTGAGCATCCTTGGATTTTGGTATCCATTGGATCCTGGAATCAGTCCCCCATGGATAATGAGGGACAGCTGTACACAGAAACGCCTCAAGCTCAGTGACTTAAGGTTACATCCTGTCCAGCACATACTCTGACTGGCCAGTGTACCCACCGGCCTCATGGCCCTAGTTCCTGTGGTTCAGGCGAGAGGCTGAGAAGAAGGGGCTGTTACAGTCTGTCAGGGAAGCAGCAAACCCCATCTTATCCCAGGTCACACTCTTCTCCATCAGCATTTCTGCATTTCTTCCCTCCAGCCCAGTTCGATGTGGTATAGTAGAAAGAACAGCATTTGGGAGTCACACTGACTCCTAGTTGAACAATGCATTTCATCTTTCTGAAAATCAGGCTACTAAAACCTGTCTTTTCAAGTTGTGATTGTTTTACTGGGGAAAAGTGTTGAAGTGCCCAATACTGTGGCTAATATGCAGAAGACAGTGGTTTTTTCCCCCTCTTCTCCCCTCCGGGCCTTTCATACTCATTTCCCCCCTCTTCCACCTCTGTCCGGCTGCCAGCTTCCTGGTATTATGTGTCTCCTTCTTTTCTCCCCTCTCTAGTGTTTTTTTTTTTTTCTTCTCTTTTTATGCCTTCCTTCTCTCATTCCTCTCTTCATCTAATCTTTAAGTACTTCCCTTAAATTTCTCCTTGTCTGTCTGTCTGTGTTTTGTTTGTTTGTCTGTTTCTTCCTGCAGCAGCAAGTTGGTGCTAAGTCCTCTGCAATGTCCATAGACTAGAAGTCTGAAGTTCATTAAACTAGACTGGGACTTGCAGACTGACAGTCCATGAGCCAAGTCTAGCTCAAAATTTGTTTTGTTTGGCCAGCACAGTGTTTAAAATTTCTAAAATTCAGATGTCCTTAGATGGGAGCTTTATCCTCCAGTTTGCCAGAGTTGCTAATATTCTGTATTGTATTTTTCCATTGTCTTAAATGTAATATTGAAAAATGAATGCCAATCAATCAGCCACCCATCTCAAGAACAAGAGCATTACTAACACATTTATCTTTGCTTGTGTCTGCCTCTCTTTTATTCCCTTGCCTCCCCTCCAGAGGTAATCACTGTCTTCAATGTTCTTAATCACTCATTTACTTTTTAAAAGTAGTTTAAAAAAAGTTTCTGCACAAAGTATTTCCTAGTAATATATTATTTCTTTTTTGTTTCTAACTTTAAAAACACTGATGTTATATTCTACAAAATTTTCTATAACTTGCATTTTCACTCAGCATTCTGTTTCTAATTTTTATCCACGTGTTGCAAATGTAGTCCGTTATTTTCATTCCAGTCTTCTGTTGATGGACATTTGTATAATTTCCATTCTTTGCTATCATGAAGAGTGTCATCATGAACATCCTTTTATCCATCTTGTGCTCATTTGCAAGAATTTCTCTGAGGTATACCTTGGAGTAGAATTATTGGGTCACAGAGTACACAGTGTTCATTTTTATGAGATAATAACAAACTTTTTATTTCTATCAGCACTATATAAGTGCTTCCATTGATTCACATGCTTTCCAACATTTGGAATCATCAGATTTCTCAATTTTGCTAATCTAGTGGTTATAAATCTCATTGTGGTTTTAATTTGAATTATCCTTATTACAAATGGTTTTGGCATTTTTTTCTCTATGCCTTGGTCATTTGTGTTTCCTCTTCTGTGAAGTTCCTTTTCCTATCTTTTGCCCACTTTTCTATTGGATTCTTTGAAGGTTTTTTCTTTATTGTTTTGAATGTGTTCTTTATATATCCTGAAACTAATCCTTTGTTGTTATATGTGTTGCAATGATCTTTTCTCAAAGATTGAGAAAAGTGGTTTGTCTTTTTCCTCTCTATAATGTCTTTAAAGAAACAGTTTCTTAATTTAAAAAGAACATATTTGTTGAAGTATAACTTATGTATTAAAAACTTTTGAGATTTTGGTTGGCGTTGCATTAAATCTAAAAATTATTTTAGGAAAAGTGGACATCTTTACAATATTGCTTCTTCCTATCCATGAAAACAGTATATCTCTCCATTCAATGTATTTCAATAAAGTTTGATCATTTTTTTCCATACTGTTTATAGATATATATTAGATGTTTTCTTAGGTATATTATACTTTTTTATCAAGATTTTAAATTAAAATTTTTTAATTTTTATTGAAGTACAGTTGATTTACAATGTTTCAGGTGTATAGCAAAGTGATTCAGTTGTACATGTATAGATAGATATGTATTCTTTTTCAGATCTATTTACATTATAAGTTATTGTCAAGATTTTAATTTTAGCCATTCTGGTGGGTGTTTTTGAATTGTCTCATTCTGGTTTTACTTCTCATGTCCCTGTTGAAAAATTTTATTGGGCACCTTTTCATATTCTCATTGGCCATCCAAATATATTGTTTTGTGAAATGTCTGTTCTAGTCTTTTGCTCAATTTTTAAAACAGCTTGTCTTTCTTTTATTGATTTGTAAGAGCTCTTTATGTATTCTGGATTTGAGTCCTTTGCCAGATATGTGTATTGTGAATATCTTCTCATAGCCTTTGACTTGCATTTTAATACTGTGTTTTAATAAGCATGAGTTTTTAATTAATTAATTTATTTATTTATTAATTTTTTTGAGTTTTTAATTTAGATGAAGTCCAATTTATCAGTTTTTTAGTGCTTAGTGTTTTTGGTCATGTTTAAGAAATCTTGCCTACCCCAAGAATGTCAAGATTTTTCTCTAATGTTTTCTTCCAGAAGCTTTATAGTCTTAGCTTTCATGTTTAGGTCTGTGACTTATCTAGGTTCTTGTATATAGAAGAAATCAAAATTTTGGTTTTTTCCCCCCATAAAAATATATATTTTCTTCATTAAAAAAACTTACTTTCTTACTTGAATTGCTGTGGTGTCTTTGTTGAAAATCAAGTGAGCGTATTTGTGTGAGTCTGTTTCTGGGGCCTGTTCTCTGTTACATCGACCTATTTGTTTATTTTTATGCCAGTATCACATTATCTTAATTAATGTACCTTTATTATGAAAGTGAAAGTGTTAGTCGCTCAGTCCTAGTCAACTCTTTGTGACCCCACACCCACAGACTGTAGCCGGCCAGACCCCTTTGTCCATATTTCCCAGGCAAGAATACTGAAGTGGGTAGCCATTCCTTTCTCCATAGATGAGTTTTTTTCTTACAAGTTTTATTTGTTTATCTATTTTTTGGCTAATGTAGCTTTTACTGTAAATCTTAAAAATATAGTAATTTAAGTTCTCCAACTTTTTTACTTATCTTTAAAATTATCTTGGCTATTCTAGGTCCTTTATTAGAATCAGCTAAAATTCTTGCTGAATTTTTATTGAAATTATATTGAATTCAAAGATTAATTTAAGAAAAACTGACTTCTTTCTAATATTGAGTCTTCTTATCCATGAAAAATGATATCTCTATTTAGTTGGGCTTTCTAAAAAATATGTCTTTTAACAAAGTATTAGTTTTCTTCATACAGGTCTTATCAATCTTTGTTAGATTTATTTCTTTGTGCCTTATAGATTTTGTTGCTATTATAAATGCTTTCTTATATAAAGAAATTGTGTTAATTACATTTTACAATTACTTTTGGTTTATAGAAATATAGTTGAATTAATTATAGTTATTCATCTTATTAAACTCTCTTTTTTTCAGTTATAACAGTTTGTGGATTTTCTTTTTGGCTTTTCTAAGTAGACAATTATGTCATCTTTATTTTTTTATTTTTTCCATTTATTTTTATTAGTTGGAGGCTAATTACTTTACATCATTGCAGTGGTTTTTGTCATACATTGAAATGAATTAGCCATGGATTTACATGTATTCCCCATCCCGGTCCCCCCTCCCACCTCCCTAATTATGTCATCTTTAAATGAACCTTGTTTTCTTCTTTTCCAATAATTTCTTTCTTTCATTTCTTTTTTTTGTCCTACTGTGCTTGGCTAGGGGTCTATTGCAATGCTAAACAGTAATGGGGATAATGGCTATCCTTGTCTTGTTTCTGATTTTAGAGGGAGTACATTTCATGTTTTACCATTAAAATTGATTTTTGGCTGTAAGGTTTTAAAAGATACTCTATCAAGTTAAGGGGCTTCCCTGGTGGCTCAGCTGGTAAAGAATCTGCTTACAACTCGGGAGACATGGGTTTGATCCCTGGATTGGGAAGATCCCCTGGAGAAGGGAACGGCCAACCACTCCAATATTCTGGCCTGTAGAATTCCACGGACTGTATAGTCTATGGGGTTGCAAAAGAGTCAGACACAGCTGAGCTGAGCGACCTTCACTTCACTTCCTCAAGTTAAGGACGATTCCTTCTATTGGTCTTTGGTTTTACAATGAGTGAATGTTGGATTTTATCCTTTTTTTTTTTTTTTTTTTTGCTTTTACTGAGTTGGTAATGTTTTTTTCTCCTTAATATGTCATGAGGTAAATTACATTTAAAGATTTTCCTTATCTTAAACCACCCTCATATTTTTAGTATCATTCCAACTCATTCGTGATGGATTCTCTTTCTTATGCACTACTGGAATTCATTTGTGGCATCAATTATCTATTGCTGCATAATAGATCAACCCCAAACTTAATGACTTAAAACAACCACCATTTTTCCCCCTCAGAGTGTTATGGATGGTTAATTTGGACTGAGCTCAGCTGAGTACTCTTCTGCCGGTTCTACCCGGCCTCACTTATGTGGTCACAGTTATCTGGTGGCTGAAAAGGACTGATGGTCAAGAATGGTGATATTCATGCCTGTGGGTTGTTAGGTTGCCTGTTTTGGTACTTTGGTTCTCATTCATATGGCTTCTCCATCACATGGAAATATCATTCTAAGTGGGCAAGAGAGGAAGCTTTAAGGTTTCTTGAGGTGTAGTCTCAAAAATCACATCATGCTACTTCTGTCGCATTCTATTCATGTTAGTAAGTCACAGGCCCACCCAGATACAAAGAGTGAAGAGACAGAGTCCTTCATAATGGTAGGGGCTGTAAATAATTTGTGGCTATTAAGGCTATTTAAAATCTATTACAGTTTGCTAATATTTGCTAATACTGTTTGGAATTTTTGTACTTTGCATAAGAGAGATTGGCCCATAATTTTCCTTTGTCATATTGTCTATGTGTAGCTTAAGAATCAAGGAAAGGGTTTGAAAGTTTTTGTTTTTGTTTTCTATTCTTTGGAAGAGTTTGGATCAGTGATCTATTGCTTGAAAGATCTATTCCTTGAACTATAAAACTGTTTTAGCCTTATGTGTTTTGTTTATGGAAAGATTAACTACTGATTCCATTTCTTTAATAGGACCATTCAGACATTCTATTTCTTCTAGATTCAGTTTTGGTAAGTCATATATATATATGTATATATATATATATTTTTTAAAGAATTTATCTATTTTGTTTCCATTTTCAAAATTACTGGCATTAAGTTATAGATAACATTATCTTTCCAGTCACCTTTTACTCTTTCTATAGTTAGATCCACTTTTTCATTCTGCTTTTATTTGCACATCACTTTTATCAAAGTTTTGTCTATTTTATTGGCCTGTCTCTTGGCATTATTGATCCTATTTTATGCTGTTACTACTTCATTGATTTCTGCTTTTATCTTTACGATACCCTTTTTTCTATTTTCTTTGGGCTTGTTTTGTTGTTCTTTTTTCTAACCTTTTAAGTTGGCATAGCTCATTAATTTTCAATTAAAAAATTTCAATATAAGCATTTTAAAGTTATAAATTATCCTTGAGATACATTTTGACGACCTCTTACAAGTTTTGTTGAGTAGTATTTTCATTATTGTTGTTATAAAATATCTTTAAATTTCCATAGTGATTTCTTGTTTGATCACCAAGTTTATTTGGAAGGGTATTTTAAATTTTCTAAATATATGGATATTTTAAAAAAATTTTTTGAAATATAACATATGTACAGAAAAGTATATAAAACATATCTGTACAATGTAATGAATAATTAGGAAGCAAACACTCATGTAACTACTCTAGGTTAAAAAAAAATAGAGTACCACCAAACCAAGAGCCCCCGTGGGTCCCTCCCCACTCACAGCCCTCTCCTGATACAGAGGAGTACTTTCTTGACTTTCAAGGTCAATTTTCCTTATAGATTTACCACATTTATGTGCATCTTTAAACAATATCAATTAGTTTTACCTGTTTTAAACTTTATATGAATATAACCATTATGTATATAAATTGTTTGTGTCTTCGTTCTTTCACTTGGCATTCTTTGTGAGGTTCATCTGTATTGTTGGGTGAACTATAGTCTGTTTATTTTTATTGTTGTATATATAATGCTTTTATATACAAATATACCATAGATTCTTTATCCAGTCTGTTGTGAAAAGGGACTTCAGGATTGCTTCCTATGATCTCTCTGATAGAGATTATCTGAAGTATGTTAAATTTTGCCTTATGGACTGATATATAGCCAGTTTTTGTAATGTTCCAAGTAGGGCTGAGGAAAAAAAAAAGGGCTCGAAAGATTGGGTGTGCAGTTTATGAATATTTCTATTCCCTATTGTTTTAAAACCAGACTGCCCCACTTTTTTTGTTTGTTTGTTTGCTTTGTTTTTTTCACTATCTGCCTGACCTCTGTAGATTGAGTTTGTCATTTTGGAAACCATTCAGGGTAAATCTTTTCTAGGATATTTTCTATATTAAGGCAGCCTGGATTTGAGTTGCAACAGGGTGATGACTGCTAAATAGCAGGAATAACTTCCTAACTATTTCAAGTGGAATGCTCCAGATATGGGTAGTAGGGAGGGGTAGAAGGCCTGAAGGGCCTTTTGCTGTGGGAAAGTGAAGAGCCTGGGGGGAAGATGGTTGAAGCTTGGTCTTTGCATGAAGATTCTTAACTTGATTCTAGGATCAGGGTTCCAGTCACCCACCAGCTGGCCCTTTGGACCACTCAGGCACTGGTATGCTTTCCAAGTCTGTATCCATGAGTGGCATCAACTGCTTCTTGGGCTGCTCAGACCCAGCTGGTGAGTAAAAGTGGGGAGCAAAGCAGTGGTGGCCCCTTCTTCTGCCAGTCTCACCCCAGTCCTCAGAGCCAGCTGTAAATTTTGGGTCCAGAGGTCCTGTGTTGTGTTCAACCACACACCCCTGGAAACTCCAAAACGCCTTTATGCAAACGAGAGATCTGAATTCAAGACTTTGGTACTCTGAGGTTCTCCTTCCATGGAAGGAGAACACAGGACAGAAAGAGGCTCTCTAGGTCCCCCTTTCACCAGAGACGGAGGACAGTTACCTGCAACATGCCTTGTCTTCAGGATGAGGCATTGGGAGCTCAGAGTGAATCCTCTGCCCTTTCCAGTCGCTGGGAACAGAACTGTGACATTGGCCCCGCCAGCCTTTCTCCACACAACCCCCCAGGGCCCTGTTACCCTGGCTTCTAGGTTCTTCAGCTCTGCTCTGCTCAGACACCGCCTTCCCTGCTCCCCAGCGCCCGCCCTCAGGAATGGCGTCACAGGCACCTGCAGCTTGGGAACCTGATCCAGGTGGAGGGGGTGGGGGAGGCAGCTCTGAGCGCCTTTGTCTGGCTTTAGCTGGACACCTCACGGCTCCTTTTGTGTTGGCAGGGAATTTGTCCCAGTCTTCTGCTGCTGACCTCAGCCAAAGGTAAGTTTGGGGGATTCAGAGCCTCTCAAAGGCCTGGATGGGGGAGAGGCAATGGGCCTGGGCCAGGAATTTTGTAGCCTCAAGGGTCTCTGCAACATTACTCCCCTTAACGTTTTTTGATCAAAGACCTCCAAATATCCTTCTCCCTGGACTGCAAAGAGTTCCCCTTCTTCTCATTGGGCAGGGAAGGCAAAGAAGGTTCCCGGTAGCTCCATGGGATGAGGAAGAAATGAGAGAAAGAAAAGGAGTATCTAGACCCCAGGGTGTCTGTTGAACAGGAGAGTGGAGGTTGATGGCTGTTGTCAGGGTCAGAAGATTGGCTGCTCTACAACCTTAGGGAGAGACCGTGACCAGGAACCAATGGGGAGTGGCCCTAAGAAGAGGTGGGCATGGGCAGTTGAGCCCTAGGGGAGAGGGCAGGGGCTGAAGGCATGTAGTTCAAGGACTGAGGTGGAAGCTGGGTGCTTTCAGTGTCTATGTAAATAAGCATGCCGAATCAGCACCTGTTTGTTTGGCTCCTGCAGCCAAAGCCTGATTAGAGTGGGTCAGCCCTTTGAGACAGTGTGGGTGTGTGAGCTGGGAATGGGCCCTTTAAGATATCAAGCTCTGATTTGTGGTCCTGAAAATCTCTAGCTGACACATCCTCCTGGCTCTGGGTTTGGGATTAGCTCATGGGATGGGGCTGATGAAATCCCAGGAAATTCAGTCCTTATTGGCGGTAGGCCCAGAGGCCCTTTCCACACAGCAGAGAGGGTCGTACACAGGGCTCTTGTTTTGTAGGGGAAAAACGTCCTCTTGGAGAGCCCACCACACCCCATATCATTTCCGTTGGGAAGCAGTATGAAGGAGATTGGTCCTGGATTAGGGAGGAGGGGGGGAGTCTGTATTTATCTGGGAGGAGCCTGGAGTTTCCCTCATATATAGAGGGGCCTGGGAAACTGTAGTGACCATAGCCAGAAAATCCCAGGAGGTAGGGGGTGGGAGCCTCTTCTTTTTAAGTTCTCCTTCCCTTGTCCCCATCCTTCTCTCAGTCTTCCCCCTGAATCTCTGTCTTCTCTCCCCTGGTTACGGCACCTTCATCCACCATATCTCTGGGAGTATCTTGTTCTTTTCCAGCTCTAGCTCCATCTCTTCACCTGTTCTTTTTCTCTCTGCAGCTGCAGCCAACTGGAAGGGGGCTCAGGTACCTGGGCAGGCTCCTCCCTGCGACGGACACTCAGCTTCATCTTGGGCATGACCGGGAAGGCCAAGGTAGGAGCTCAGGGGGGCGGGAAGCCTGGGCCCCACTGCCCTCCCCAGTTCCCTTCCTCTCCACCTCACCATCTGCCCGCCGCCCCAGCTTCCCCCAGTAGGCAGAGACACAGGGCAATGGGTCAAGTTTTAAGGGAACACATTATGTCTCTCAGGCTCCCTCCCTATGTCCCAGTAAATCTCCTTTCCTCTGCTTTCCCCATGCCTCTAGCTTAGCAGCCAGCTGTAGACAGCTGGAAGAAGAGAAGGGCCAGGAACCTCAGAAGCTAAGGAGTGCCCTAGCCCTCCCTCTCTAGGCCCCACATAGCTAAGAGGTGGGCAGCAGAAATCTTAGCCATTGGACATAATGATGATAATAATTACAGCAACACTTTTTACTTCTTCAGAGAGTATTAGGCTTTGCAAAGTGCTTTTACACTCATAATTTTATGGGTGGATATAGCAGCTGAAGGACTTGAAATTAGACCATAGGCAGAGTGGAAGCCAGGAGTGTATGATTATGGAAGCACACATACAGCACGCATGTGGGGCCGTGTGCAGTTCTGACCCCAGGAAGATGAAGGCACGTTGCTCTCTTCCATATTACCAACCCCCAGGCTCTGGTGAAACTGGGACCTCTGCCTACTGTTTGAAGTCATTTCTACTTTCTTCATTTACTGGCAGAATGAGCCATCCCCCTTTTCCTCTCCTGGCTTACTCCAGTATGCATGTATTTTCCCACCCGGGTAGCTTCTGAACATTGAGAAAAACCCCAGACGAGACATCATCATATTCACCTGGAAACACCACAGGTTTCTTACCCAGTAAAGTTCTCACCCGCCTGCAGGGCCTGGGCCCTCTTCTCTGTCAGTCTTTTAGCCAGGATTCTCCTTCCTCTGGGTAGGCAGGGAGGGCAGAAATGAAACCAGGTTCTTAGCACCTTCTCACCGCAGGCTATAGTGAGAAGCTGAAGCATGAGGTCAGGCGGTCTGAGACCAGGGCAAGCTGGGCACAGTGAGGCTGCTTCTTGCCTCTTGGTGGGGGGCAGAGCTCTCTAGGGAACAAAGCCAATACTGAGACCTTGGCCCTGGGGCCCCTCACCCCACAGGCTCTCAGTACAGGGTAGGAGAGCCTGATGGAAGACTCACCCTCTTTTCCTGTGATGTGAATGAGAGGGGAAGTCGATGCTGCCCAGGGGCCATCCAGATCCAAGTTGGTTTGCAGTTGCCCACCCTTGGCCTGGCAGTTTGGTGAGGGGATGAAGGGGAAAGTGGGCAGAGGCGAGCCCAGGCCAGCGGCAGGAAGGACTAGCATCATCAGGACATTGTCCCCGTCGCCTTTCCTCACCAGGGCTCTGGTCCTGTCTACCTGTTTCCCTCTTTGTCATCTCTTGGTTCATCTTGCTCCCACCCCCATGAATGTGTGTTCTTGAGTCACTAAATCTCTTCCTTTCCCCTCCTCCTAGCTCAGGATAGGGGCCATAAGCAGGTAAACACCAGAGGTGTGGCTGGAGAGAAGCTCAGTCAAGCACTGAAAGAAGGAAGTAGCTTATTTCTTCTTACTTGACGAGCAATGCAGAGTTGACAACAACACTTCTACAGAGCTCATCTCATGGTTGTTTTTTTTTAATTCATTTTTGACTGCGCTGAGTCTTCACTGCTACATGTGGGCTCTTTCTAGTTGTAAAGAGCAGGGGCTACTCTCTAGCCGTGGAGCACAGGCTCCAGGCGCACGGGCTTCAGTAGTTGCAGCACACAGGCTCGGCGGTTCTGACTTGCTGCTTCGAGGGTGCTCCGGCTTCAGTAGTTGTGATACAGGGGCATGGGCTTAGTCGCTCAGAGGCATATGGGATATTCCTGGGCCAGGGATGGAGCCTGTGACCCCTACACTGGCAGGCGGATTCTGATCCACTGCTCCACCAGGGAAGTCCTCATCTCATTTAATTCTTATAACACTCTGGCAAAGATAAGTATTTTAATTTCCATTTTATGGCAAGGTAACTTAGAGGCTAAGCCACTTGCCCAGGACCCCACAGTTAGTAAGAGGTGGAGCTGTATTATGAACCTAGAGCTTTGACTATATACTGTTGCCTCTGCCTCTGTCAGTAAACCTATGGAACAGTTTATTTCCTCTCTTTACTTCTTCCACCAATTCTTCTTTTTAAAGTATTTATGTACTTGGCTGTGCCAGGTCTTAGTTGCGGCATGCAGGATATTTTAACTGTGGCATTCGAACGCTCCGCTGTGGCATGTGAGATCTAGTTCCCCAACCAGGGATTGAACCCGGGCCCCCTGCACTGGGAGCATGGAGCCTTAGCCATTGGACCACCAGGGAAGTCCCCTTCTTCCACCATTTCTGATGGATGGCCATTGGAGTCAATAATGCCTTAATCATCCCCTCCACAACACACAAGGTCCAAAGTAGTAAGAAAAACAAACCTCTTGGGCACCATAGGACTTGGGCCCAGGTATCTTTGTGGCTTTCTCCGCTCATCTATGGGACAAGACCCTGACAACCAGGTTCTTCTCTGGGACGGCCTCCCTACCCCTGAAATGTGGGGGACTTAACTGTCAAGTTAGGGCGTCCCTGGTGGCGCTAGTGGTAAAGAACCTGCCTGCCGATGCAGGAGACGAAAGAGACACAAGAGACAAGGGTTCGATTCCTGGGTTAGGAAGAGCCCTTGGAGAAGGAAATGGCAATCCACTCCAGTATCCTTGCCTGGGTACTCCCATGGACAGAAGAGCCTGGCAGGCTACGATTGATGGGGTCACAAAGAGTCGGACACGACTGAGCACGCAGGCACTTCTCTGTCAAATTAAATAAGCTAAAGAAGGGGTGGTTACTTTTAGATTCTGGCAGAAATTAGTATTGGCTTTTGTTTCTGTGTATCTAAAAAAATAATTTCAGAAAATCTGAGAGGCATCACTGGATAGAAGGAGCAGGGACTGAGATGAAAATGGTTTGGAAGAATGGTCAGGGGATGCCAAAGCAAAAGGAAAAGGGTTCACTATTCCAGAGGATACAGAAAGTGGAAATTAAGTCAAGCTGCAGGCCTAGCTCGCTAAAAACACAGGTGTTCTTAAAGGTAGTCTGACTCCCTTTACCCACTCCCTAAGTCCCCTTCTTACTATTCACCTCTTAAGAGGAAGAAGAGGAAGGGTAAGAGGGAAGGTAACAAAGAGCAAATGGGTGGAAAGTTTATTGAAGATTGGGGTGGGAGACAGAAGAGGGTTATGAGATTAGGTCCTCTTCTTTCATATAGAGACCTTCTAAGTTGAGTTTGGTGACTGAGATCCCTCACATAACTCTGGGATTCAGGTCCTGGGTTTACTGCAGATCCAGACTGGAGTTTGGCCCTTTAAGATTCCATCCTTAGCTTGCAACACCCTCCTACCCCAGGCCTGGGAGAAAAGCCGAGGTCTCGGCCTACCCCTGGTCTCTGGGCCCCCAGTGGGTGGAGCCTTGCGGCTAGGATTCTGGCTTCTGGCTGTCTGTTTTTAAATTTAGTACATTCCTCAGCCCTGGCCGCCCACTGGGGGGAGGTAAGTCTGGGGTAATGGGTCTAGGAGCTTCAAGACCACTCACTGCTTTTTGGGGAGCTCCTAGGGCCTTCCTGTAGACCTCCCCTGCAGGTGCAACCCTGGAGAGGTCAGCCTCCCTGATGGCCCGGGGAAGTCCTTTCTGCTTTCTAGTTTCCAGCCAGCCTAGAACTGGGCATGATTGTTTTCTCTCCTTTTCTTCTGGTCTTTGCTATATAAGGATCCTACACAGGGGAATGGGTGAAGAAGGAGGTGAAGGAGTTGCTAGGCAGGAGGGGAAGTCAGAGGAGCAGCGTGGGGGTGAGAAGCCCAAGGAGCTCAGCCAGTGGTGAGGCAGTGGAGCCCAAAATAGTGGCAGAGGCTAAAATTGGCACCTACAAGAGTGCTGAGCTGGGCTTGAAACCTGCAGCCAGACCCTGCTGCTGAAGCCCTGCAGGGAGCCGCTGCATCTGGGTTGGGCCTCCTCTCCTCCCTTCCTTCCTCCACACCTTTGGGGACCAGAGTCAGGCAGGACCCTATAAACTTAAGATGCTCTGTTCCAGGACTCTCTGTGCTTCTGGTTGCTCCAGAGACACAGAGGCTCTGAGACATAGAAATGAAGGGCAACGTGGAATGATTATAATTCTAGAGGAGGAGGCGTTTCCCCCAAAAGGTGGGGGTTGCCTGAGGCTGGGGCAGAGTTTCCAGAAAGTGTGTCCCACTCCACCGCTCCTCCTCATGGAGACACTGGCCATTCTCCAGTGGGGCAGGCTGGCTGCTGGGCTTTCTGGTTCTGGCCTAACTTGCAACAGAGAGAACTGGCATTAGACACAAAGAAGGACTTCCTCAGCGCCTTGGTCCCACAACCCCTGGCCCCAGCCGTCGGTGGAGGCAGAAGCAGGAGGGAAGGGGGTAGGCAGGGTGCCGGCCTGGAAGGCCCCAGAGAGGATGGGGACTTGGGGAAGGACTCTCTCCTCTCGGATTCTTCCTCCAGGCCCTATAAAGAACTAAAACCCAGCCTTTAGTTCCCCTTTGATTTCTCCGCCCTCTCCCCACCCCTGCCCCCATCGTAAAAGGGGTCGGTCAGCTCTGGCCTGCTTTGATGGGCCCCCGAAGGCCTGGAAGGAACTGGTCCGGGTTCCCTGGAGAGCTGGGAACGGCTGGAATCCTCCGGCCCGCGGGTCTTTCTAGACTGATGGACTGCTTTGGGGGAGGAGAAGGGGAAGGGGAAGATGAAGGTGGGGTGGGGGCTATGGGGCGGGTTAGGGAGGGTTTTAGGAAAACTGCAGCCGAGGCGGCGTCTGGGGTTAGAGACGCCCCCCCCCCCAACACACACACATGCACACACAGGCGCTGGACTGCCCGTCCACGGCCCCGCGTACTTGTGAGCCGCCCCTCCACTGACCGAGGCGTCCCGTCCGCACGGCACCCCGCCCTCCCTCTGCCCCGCCTCCCCCCTTCCTGAGCTCGGGTGGGGGTGGAGACTCGGGTTTGAGGAACTGG